CATAAGGCCGAAAAACTAAATTGAACAAACAAAAATCCATATTATCATTCTGGAAAGATATTGAAATCTTCTCCCTACCTGATCTGCCTTCCAGTGCCAAATTGGTAGACCTGAACAAGACATTGCCCTGGGAATTACCTTTTTTGCCCAAACAAAATAGTATGTGGAGGCATATCGTGTTTTTGGGAAAGCACAGTAAAGAAAATATAATAGATGTTATAGGGAAAGCTCTGGACGATAACCCTGAAAAACCGGACTGGATGGAGAAACCGACCGGTAATACCTGTATGGCTGTTCTGATCTTAAATGAACAAGGGAGATTGTCGGGCGACAGTCCCTATTTACAGGCCTCCTATTTATATGGCATCAAATGCTTGCAGGATGGCAGAAAATTATCAGAGGTGACCAAGCTATTGGACGACGTGCAGGAAAAGTTTGGGGAAAGATATTCCTACAACCAGGATGCAGAGGACCTAAACACCGCGTTGGCACCGATAATCACATCCGCACATTTAAAAAAAGAAGTGGCTGTCCTAAATAATCTCAATATTGCCAGCATAGCCTGCGATAGCCATATTTATGTGCAGTCCATACAAGTCTCCAAACAGTCCAAAGGCGACACAGCTTTTTTGAACAGTTTCTACCTCGAAGATCTCAATCAACTTATAAACAAATCCAACTCTTTGGGAAAAGGACTGGACGACTATTTGCGCATCGATACTCATCAGCTTGACCGTACAGATTTACTGCTGAATTCAGACGCCTTTTTCAAGACAATAAATCCGTTAAAGATACCAGCTGGACGTTGGCCCTCAAATCCTGCCCATGGTCTTTATTCAGCGCAAACAGGTGCTGTCAATACCAGTTTGGAATTACTTAAGGATAACGGTCTAATAGGAATTAACGGTCCTCCTGGAACCGGAAAAACGACCCTTTTGTCAGACATCGTAGCCGAGGTGATAGTGCTTCGTGCACAGAAACTGATGAAAAGGGATATTTCCTCCCTATTTGCCCGAGGCCAGAAAATAGAGAGGGAAAACAACTTCGCCTATCATTTCCCTACCAATAGTGATGTCTTTGAAGATGTGGGCATAGTAGTGGCCAGCAATAATAATGCTGCCGTAGAAAATATATCGAAAGAACTGCCTGATGAGCGAAAAATAGACAGGGGCACGTTCCCAAATGCCAGATATTTCGCTGACTTCTCGCAAAATTTAATTGAGGCCGACAGTTGGGGACTGCTGGCCGCAGCGTTGGGGAACTCAGAAAACAGGGCGTTTTTTAAGAATAATTTCTGGTACAGGAACGATAGCGAACCTGGATTTGCTGCTTTCCTACAATCCCTATATAACAATCCGGAAAACGAGGACCGTACGTTCGAACATCTTAAACACTACGAAGAAACAAAATCTGAACTTGAGGCATTACTAAAAGAATTCTATGAATTCAGAAAGGTAGCTTCCGAATTCTATCAATTGGTTCCCGGATATTTAAATGATCAAAAGAATAAAATAAGGACAATACACCGTATTGACCAGCATGCGGCTCTTCTTGGGGAAATCCGGAATGGCAGAAAGCAGATAGTTAAAGATTTAGCAGGCATTAAAAATCGGCTTGCTGAAATTCAATATGCTATTCAGGTGCACCAATCTACAAAACCGGGATTTTTCTTTTTCCAGAAACTAATTAATACGAAAGCATTTAAACAATGGAACGGACCATACCTGCTGTTGTTAAATGAACACACAGAACTTACTACCAAAAGCATTGGCGTCCAAAAAGAGATAGATATCCTAGACAGGAAAATTACTGATAAGGAGAAAGAAATAAAACAATTACAGGCCCAATTAGAAGAGATTAATCAGCGGATGGGCCTTTACACTAAGAAAAAAGAAAGACTCCACAGCGATTATGGTATAGCCTACAAAGATATTCCCGACGAAAATTTGTTGGACGCGTTTGAAATAGATAAGGACACCTTTCACAAAAGTAATCCCTGGTCGTCCGTTAGTATAAATAAACTGCGGAGCGAGATATTTCTTAAGAGCCTGATATTGCATGAACATGTCATTTTGAGAAATGCCAAGCAGTTCAAAAACAATATTGGTCTGTTAATGGAACTAATGGATGGTAAAGTGGAGGTTTCCAAAC